GGAGGTATTCCTCTTGTGGGGTGACTTCCTTTTTCTTTCTTTGTCCCTGTCCTGTCTTTCTGCTCTGATTTGTAAAATCCTTAATGAAATGCTGGAGATTTAGACTTGTGGGGCAGCCCTGCTTTCACTTAGGGAGGGGCAGGAATTCATCTCCTCTTCTCTCTTCTGGAGGGCACCTATTTATCTGCTTCAGTGGTTTTTCTGTTTTCTTTCTTTCTTCCTTGTTTTGACAACCGGACACTTTCTTAGAATGAAATCTTGTATTCACTGTATAAACAGGTAAAAGTGAAGTTATGCAGATTAGAGAGGGAGGAAGACCCAGGAGCCCTGCCTGTAGGCCTCCCCTCCCCCTGACTCCCCTGGGTGGCTTCTGAGGCACACCTGAGGCATCTTGGGGTTTCCCCAAACCACAGTAGAAAGCTAACCTGACTTGCTAAGAAACTTGAGGTTTAACAAAGACAAGTATTGTCCCCAAGGCCCGCAGCTCCTGTCTCCCAGCCCAGGGTTCTTTCTGCAGAGCTGGACTGCTGCTCTCCTGGCCCCTGGCTGCTCTTGTGATAGGCTTTGTGCGGGGTACAGTGCCCTAAGAGGCCCCGAGACAGGCGACCTATTCCTGAACCTTGACTCTGTCGGCAGCTGGGAGACCCTGAATAAATTACAGCTTCTCTGAACTGCAGTTGCTTCACTATAGACTGCAGATAGGATTGGATGACATGGTGTACAGAAAGCAAGGAGGGTGTTGTGACTACCCAGCACTTTGTAGGGGCCCTACAGGTGGCAACTCTTTTTATTAACTGAGCTAGTGAAAAGGGGCCTGTGGTCAGATGGACTGAGGATGATGGAGAAGGCAGTTTGAAAGGCAGCACTGAGTGAGAGGATTGCAGGTTAAATTGCTTGAGCTTGAGTTCTGGGCCCCTCAGTTCTTCCCACTTTCTGTGCAGAGGGAAGGTCATAACCTTGGCTGTGAATTCTCAAACTTGGTGTACATTTGAGGGTCAAGTGTGGGGAGACACATCCCCAGCTGGAGCCCAGTGTTGCCTAAGTCATTCCTAATATCTCCCATCTCTTGACATGAGAGGCGTCAGGAGGCTGGGCAGGGAGGAAATGGGTGCTGGGCTCATGTTCCCCTGTACTGACCCCTTACCCCCACCCCCTCGTGGCTGATCTTGCAGCTGTTGTAACGTTCCTATTACCACATACTCCGATTCTTTGATAATGATGCTGAAGTTCTCTTCTCAGCTAATCCCAGTCATAGGCCTGAGGATAAAGGGCATTGTGTGCTTTCCTTGCCTTTGGGGTCCCCAATGCCCCTTGGTCTGCAAGAGCCACCTGTGTCAGAAAGGAAGGAGCCCCTCCTGGGATCTGGTAGAGCCCACTCTGTAGGGGATCCCTGGGGGTAGTTCCAGGCTCATGTGACTCCAGATAACAAGTGATGATGGCCTCTTCCTGCACATCTGATCTGGATTAAATGTTGTTTTCCACTTTTGGAAATAGCATGCTGCGTGAGGGGGAAAACTCTAGGAGAAGATAGAAGCTATTCTGTGTGTGTCAGTAACCCATTGTTTGGTCCATTGGGTAAGAACTTTAAATATTATTTAATCCTCAAATAAGTCTTGGCAGGCTGTTTTTAAAATACACATTTATATATATGTAAGTTATATATGTATGTGTGTATTTATATGTATGTATGCTATATAATTTTAATAGAGGAAAGAGGCAGGGAAGCGGAGGTTGGCTTTTCAGTGATTCCTCCTTGTTGGCATAAAACCCAAGAGTAAGTTTTGGCAGTGTTAGTAGGCATGCAGGCAGAAGGTGACAGGCAGGTGACAAGTCGATGAATACGTATTTTTTATGTGCCAGCCTTGTGCCAGGTGCCCTGTAGCTACTAAGTCCTAAGAGATACTGTCTCTGACCTCAAGTTGCTTAAAATTGAGGTCAGAAGTAGAGATTGCAACCCATAAAACTCTTAGATGAAAATCCGGGGGCAGTTTTGTGGGGTAGATGTGATCAAAGAGAGACTGTGAAGATAGAATTTGGTTAGCAGAGGAGGCTAAGAGATGTTCCAGCCACTGGGTATTTGTAGTGGCAGAGAGGGTGCACAGAAAGCCCAGGAGCAGGAATGGGTGTGATGGGTGCAGAATACAGTGAGATCAGGTGGAGGGAGAAGGCTCCTGGTGGAGAGCAGGGGTATGACTCTAAGGCATAAAAACGCTAGTTTCCAAAGAATCTTGAAAGGCAGGCTGAGGCCTTTAACTTGACAAGTAACTATTATATATGGAGAAAGAACTATCATATATGGGGATATAATGCGATTAGAACAGAGAGATAACCAAATGGGTGGGAGGCTGTTGCAATGGTGTGGGGCCCAATGCTCAGTCAAGGTCCAGTGACATGCTATTATTTCTGTGTCACAGATGAGGAAATGGAGACTCAGATACAGAACCATGTGTTTAAGTCTCAGTGACCAGCATGTAACAAGGCAGCAATGCCTTGGAATGGATCTTATTGACACATACTTGAGGTTTTCCCCTTCTGTGTGCGTCTCCAGATGACCTTGGAAGAAAGGACACTCAGCAAAAGCTTATTAACTTTCCTTTCCAGAGGAAGACAGGTTCCTGCTTTTTAGTAAGAATTGTAGAGATCTTATTGGTAGAGGAACCTGAGGAGGCTGATGAGAAGCCTGAGTGTTGATGTTTGACCAAGGGAACATTTGTCTCAAACTTTAGAAATGATGGGTAAGTCCAGGCTGCTGAACTCTGCTGAAGTTAATTATTTATTCAGTTAAAGTTAATGCAATTTCTGTTAAATGCCTACTATGTGTTAAGTACTCAGGGACTATGTGGGATCAATTAATTCATGACAACTACAGTGCTGAATTTTAATTGCAAGGGACAAAGCCAGCTCTGGCTAATGAACAAAATGACTGCATTGGGAGGATCCTGTTCAACTCACTGAGAGGATACTGCGGAAGATCTGCAGACCCTGCTGAAAGCCAGGGGTCACCCTGGACAGGAAGGAGGGTGGCTCTGTTGCATGCTGCCATCGGTTGGCTCAGCTCTATTCACTTCAGACTCCTCTCACAAGTGACATTCCTCTGGGTGCTCAGGTCACCATCGATGGCCTCCCCAGAATCACATGGGATGTGATTTAGAGGAAGATTTATTGAATGGACAGACAGACACCTCCCCCTCAAACACACACAAAGAATCTACTTTAGCAGATACATAAGGCAATTCTGAACCACCAGGAGTTTATCATTAGAAAAAATAGATAAATAAAGGAATAAAAATAATAGGCTGTGGCGGTTGCTGTGTAAGCGTTGTACAAAGTACTTAGGGAGGTTGTAAATTTTGCATGGGGGAGGCATGTGTCAGGTAAGGTACACAAAGGTTGTCTGAACCAAGTTTTAAGGGCAGAGTAAAATTTTGCCAGTTGGACAAACGCCCTTCAGGAAGAAGCCCTTGGGTGACAGTAGTGATGTGAAAAAGAATGTGTGCAGGAAATACAAGGAATTCTAAATGTGTAGACCATCAATGTGGGTGGGGCTGGATCTTAAAGGGCCCTGTGTGTTCTCGTAGGTATTTTGGGAGTATTAATTCTAGCGGATTAAATAACTTTAGGTGGCAGAGGGATGTGATCAGTTTCGTTTTAGGAAGATTATTGTGGAGGTATTAGATCCTACTCCCTCGAAAGTGCCTATTAATCTAGGGATGCTGGTTTTTGCAGAGCAGTCAGAGAGTGAGATGCTGCGAGAGACAGTCACGAGACTTCTCCAAGGTTGGAGAACCCGATATATCTATGGGAAATCCCAGTGACTCCTTGTGTGTGTGTAGGGGGATGGTAGTGGGTACAGGAAAAAGGCTCCTGGTGGTCTCTTTGCCTGTGGAGTTCTGAGTGTTTAGGTGACGTGTCTTGGGCCATAGGCTGCTGAAGGTTGTGCAGAAGCAGGCATAGGGGATTCCCCTGCGCCACCTGCACCCTCAGTATCCAGTTTGCTCTTTGTGTTTATAAGTTTGCAGTGTGCAGTTCAGCAGTGGACTGGGGAGAACAATCCGGAAGAATGTAGAAATAGCCCGGGCCCTTGTTGCGGGGTGGGAATGTAATCATTTCCTTAGCCATTTGGTGATTCTGCAGAGGAAGGTGAATAAAATTGAGAAATCTTGGGTCCCCAGAGGTTGCTGGGGCCGGGGAAGGGAGGAGAGTTTCCTTTTTCCTTTTGAACAATAGCTGACAGGGGACAGCATAGCACCATTTCCTTTGTAATAGGTGGTGTCTAAAAACAGGAAAATTTTCTTTACTCCAGCTATGAGAATCCAAAGTTCATGCTTTGGAGGAACTGTAGCTAGAATTTTCTCAAAGGGTCCAGAACCAGTAGATGGGTTAGATAGAATCTGCTTGTCGTTATGTGGTAGCTGGGTGGCTTTTGGCCAAGTTACTAAGCCTTCGTATATTTTAGGTTCGACTAGAGTGAGTTGTTCAAATGCCATTATTCATACCGTCACTGGCAGTAGCAACAAGACCTAGCACTGGGCTGGGGGTGCATCTCAGTGGTAGAGTGCTCCCCTGGCATGGGTGAGGCTCCTGTTTGGTTCCCTACCTGGGTTCGGTTATCCCATCTGGGTTCGAAAAGCAGCAAATCATCAAAATAGCAAAAACCCCTAGCATTTCAGTGTGTCAGGCCTGTGCAAAAGTGTTTTATATCCCTAAATTCTGTGAGTTAGGTATTGTTATTATCAGCATCTAACCGATAAGGCAACCTATGCCTAACAGGATGAGTAGCTTACTTGTTTTTCCCTTCTCCCCGTCTGTCATCCCCTGCAAAAAGTCAGTAGATTTCAGATAGTACTACACCAGAGTTTTAAGACCTCATAGAGCTGCTGTAAGTTTTAAAGGAAATGATGTATAACAAGCTTAACATAGCTCTTGGGCCTTAGTGAGCATTCAGTGTTCACTACTTACTGTGTTTTTCTTCTCACTTGGCTCCTTTTTGTCTTTTATAGAAGCAGCTGACACAGGATGATGATGCCGATGAGGTGGAGATCGCTATTGACAACACAGCTTTCATGGATGAGTTCTTTTCTGAGGTGGGCAACCTTCCTGCATTTTTTGGGGGGAGGGGGTGAATATACATAAGGAAACACAGCTTCCTCAGTAAGAGTTAAAAATCTGGGCTCTTTCAGGGGTGGCAGGCAGTCTTTTGTTGGGGTGAGAGGGCTGAAAATGTTAGAGGGGAGTCTCCAGTTCTTGTGAGAAACTGGAATCTTCGAGTCATCAGAGGGTAAATTACATGTAATTGAGGATATGCTTTTAAAATTGTATGCTACATGACAGCATTTTAATGATATCCTTTCTTGCCAAAGCACATAATTTAAATACATCAACCATAGGCTCACAGCCATGAGTGTTAAAATTGAATTTCATCTCGAGGCCTGATTCTGATAAATCAAATTTGTTGTCTCTAAACATTTTTATGGTCCCTTTGACCATAAAATTAATTTAATTAATTTTAGCAGTAACAGAGAAACCAAGAATCTAGCAGTTTATTTTTGTAAAGTTTAACAGGGGCCAAAATGGGTTGCCCATGTCTACAAATTCACCTGCTTGTTGATCTTGAAGGCCTTATAGGGATGTTGATAGGTAGTGATGGAAAAGCAGTGGCTTTGGAGCCAAATGAACTTGGGCTCAAATGTCAGTCTGCTTCTGTCCAACTGTTGATTTTGTGAGCTTTCCTTAACATGCTGAACCCTGGTTGGAGTCTGTCCTCATCTGTAAATCGACATTGATAATATCATAATTCCTTATAGGGTTATCATAACAATTGAGATAATACTTAGAAAACATCCAGAGTATCATCAGGCATATGTGTGCTCAATGAATAGTATGTTAAAAAAGAAGGGGGAAAAAAACCCAACAAACCAGAAAGCTTATTGTTGCTGAAGTTTCTGCCATTGTATAATGGTTTCTTTATTTAGGTCCCCCCCACTCACCCCCCAAAAGAAAAGAAGAGGCATTGTGTTTTTTTTGCAGGGAAAATTTGGGCACTGCCCATCATCTGGATTGTGGATGTGGAAACGTAGCTTCCAGATCTCCTCTAAATGCAGTGGAGTGGGGCTTGACAGTCATGCCCATTCATCTGCTAGAGTAATAACCAGGCTCAAGAGCAAACTTGAGCATGTATGTGCTGACCTGATTGGGAAGTGTGCTGTAAACCTCCACAGCTCCACACCCAACTTGTGGGTGGGTCTGTCCCTTTGGTCGAGGAAGTCATGGTGAGATCAAACAACGCTGGGCTTTTGTGAATCCAGTGTTATTCCACTTGTGGATCATGGAGGGCAAATGTCCTCTGTTCATTGGGGGTTGGGTGAGAGGAGTAGCCTTCAGGAGACATTTGCAGATTCTGTAGTTTATCCCTAATTCTTGCCCTGGAGAGCCACAAATATTAAAGAATGTCTTCCCTAAGATGAAGAATCTCCTCTAGTAACTTCTTGCTCTTTCAGTGGGTGGGTGGGTCCCTGGGAGTCAGTGTTCCTTATGAGGTGGGAAGATGGTGGGCTTTGACTTGTGAGGCATGGTTGGAGTCTGTCCTCAAGCATTTTGTAGCAGTGTGATCTTGGTTAAGATACTTAACCCGTTTTAGCTTTAGTTTCCTGCTCTGGAAGTCCCTTGACTTGTCAGCCTGTCCCTCTCAAGGCTGTTGGGAGAGTCACATGAGCTCACGAATCTGGCAAACATTCTCTGGACAGAAAAGTGCCCCATGTGGAAGAAAGGTGTTTGGAAGAGGCCCCTGAGAGAGGTAGTGTGACCACCTCCAGGGCTGTTTGGATTCCTATTGCTTTCTTTGTGTTAAATGCTTTTTGATCACTTAGGAGAAAAAAAACAAAAACAAAAAACAAGGAAACCCCATCATATTTAGGGCAGAGAAGGGGACTGCATGGTGAGGTGAAAAGAGCACTGTGTGTCAGGAACTGTGTGATATTGGTCATGTTCCATAAGGTCTCCATGTCTCAGCGGGTTTATCTGTGAAACGGAGAGAAAAATATTCCAAGCTTTGTTGGGCATGAGAAGAGCTGACACTGGGAAAGAGCTTAGAATGGGGTTAGGCAGTGTTGCTTCCCTCCTTTCTCATTTGCAAGAGCCCAGAGAGGAAAGATGCTGGGGGGTGGGGGTGGCACAGAGGCGGGAGGGAATGGTCACTGGAAGAGATCCTGCAGGCAGTGGTGAACAGATCCTGCTCTAAATCTCAGCTCTGCCCATTGGAAAAGTTGTGTAGCTACTTTAAACTCCAGTTTTCTCTCAAATGGGAATAGTACTGCAATCTACTAGTTGTTATGAATATAAAATGAGAAAGTATCTGGATGTACCCAGCACAGTGCCACCAAATTTTAGTCCTCATCATCCTTTTGTCCCCATATACTCATGAGTAAGCAGACCATAGAGTTCATTTTATAGAGCATGGCTTGGAAATATCCTTCATATTGGGATAAAGTACTTTGGATAATAGGGATTTGGGGAAGTGAAGGAGTTTCCCTCTGTGTATGACTGAGGAACCTGCCCAGTGTACCTTAGTTAGACATAGCTAACAAAGATAGCACTCTTGTGATAGACTTTGCTTTTTGGATTGGTGCCAACAGGACACCTTTGATTAGGTCCTTTGCTGAGAACTCATAGTGCAAGTCATGGGTTGGTCATAGAGGCACGTGCAAGATGCAGATGAAATCATGGACCTCAAAATATATTTTCAGAATGTGCTTTGCAGTGTAAAATTTGAGTGGCTTCTCTGTCTTCTCAGTTGTTAAAGAATTGGCCCTTGGGTTTTCAGGCTACTTTGGCCAATCAACCCAGGCCTCGTAAATTATAAACCCTGGACTTTGTCTAATCTGCAGTTTTCTGTATTTCCCGTGGTCGTTTGCTCAGTTGGCAGAGAAAGCAAAGTTTTGGAGGAAATAGACCTGCCTCTGAAGGCAGCGGTTTATTGTTCTGTGTTCATCCAACCATGCTGACCACCTCCTGATGGTGTAGTCGGTGCTGGGGTGCAGTATTCTGTGTGACAGGTCCTTGCTCTCTGGTGTGTTTCTATCTGGTGAGGGTGATAGAAATTTTAAAAAAGTTATCATATTGTAGTGGAAATATCAAAAAGACATTGTGGGAGCACAGAAGAAGGAGTGTGGCCTTCTGCCTGGAGGAAGGTGGGCTTCTGGGGCTCTTATCTAGACTTGCACCTCAGATCTGCCTGGGAGCTTATACACACCCATGCCCGATTCATAGAGACTGGGATGGCTCAGACTTGGATTTTTCATTTCTTGCATCTGATTTTGCCACCTACTGCAGCAACGGACAACTGCAGAGTGGTGGGGAGACTTGGAGGGTTGTAAGTAAGGAAATAATGGGATCGGAGTGTGTTTTAGACAAATCAATCTATGGCAGTTTGTGGAGGAAAGGAAACTCCAAAAACAGAAATACCAGCAGATTGGCCGATGCAGCAAAGCATGGGGAAAAGAGTCGGGCTTTGGTCTGGATCTGTCAATCTGAGCAGTAGCATGGGGCATCATTTAGGGATGTTTTGACTAACTGTGGCTTAAGCAGTAAAGAGATGTAATTATTTCACGCGTGAAGAAGTTTCCTATTAGGGATGTATTGGGGCTTCAGGCCAGCATCTCTGTGATCCTTTGGGATTTTCCCTTAGGGTTGAGAGAACAAGTCTGTTCTGATTATCATTGCTTTATAACAAACTACCCCAGTGTTTAGTGGTGTAAAACAACTATTTTGTTATGCTGACAGATCCTTTTGATTGGGTATTTGTCTAGGGCACAGTGGGTGGTGTATCTCTGTTCTACAATACGTGGAGCATTGGTTGGGAAGAATTGAACTACCAGAGGCTAGAATCTAATAGAAACTTCAGTATTCTAATAGTGGGTGCCTGGACTGGGGTGACCAAAAAGAAAAGCTCAGTAGAAACTGTCAACCAAAGCCCTCAAACGTGGCCTCTGTGTCTAGTGTTCCTCATAGCATGGAGCACTCAGGGTTGCTGGACTTGTGACATGGGGTTCAGGGATGCAGGGCCAGTGTTCTGGCAATGAAACTTACGTAGCGCAGTCACAAGCCTGCCAGATTTGAGAGAGAAACCCAGGGATCCTACCTCTCAATGGGAAGAGCATTAAGGAATTTGTGCCCCTGTTTAAAACTACCCAAGAGTCAAAGCTCTGTTTGACATCACCCAGCGTCAGCATCACTAGCAAAAAAAAAAAAAAGGGAATTGCTAGAAAAGTCTAAGAATTCTTTTTATCAGGGAGGAGAGCTATCTAATGGTCAAACTGACTTCCTCTGTGGCTTACTCGCTATCACTGGGTCATGTGGTCATGACCATCCCTAGTTGGAAGGGTGCCAGGAAAATATGTACTTAGTAAAGGGACAAGATTACCAGGATCTCTGTAGTGCAGGTCAAGATCCATCATCTCGGGCTGGCAGCATAGCTGCCAAAACAGAATCAGAATTCTGTTAAAAAGAAAAAGAACAGCAGTCGAGGGGCTCGCTCTTTGGTGGGTCAAAGTACTTGTCTTGGAACACAGTGTGGGATGCAGAAAGTCTCTGTGATGAAGAGTGTTTGGGATTCCTGTTCTTCTCTCTTAGAAATTTAAAATGCACATTAACTTTTCAAAGCCTCCATGAAGTCCTGTTGTGAGGAAACCTGCTCACCTTGGCTAGCCCAGCATTGAGTTTTTCACCCTTTGTGACATGGAACTTTTGTTAACAAGGATGAATGAATACACTTTGGAAAATGCTATTAGAGAGTTTTCTTTTTTGGATTCTATCTTAGCTTGGGCTCCTGTCACAAAGTACCATAGACTGTGTGGTTTATAAAGAAAAGGAAGAAAGAAATTTATTTTCCACAGTTCTCGAGCCTGGAAGTGTGAGCTCAAGGTGTCAGCATGACTGGACTCTGATGAGGGCCCTCTTCTAGACTGTGGACTGCTGACTTCTTGTTGTATCCTCACGTGATAGAGAGCAAAGCTAGCTTTGGCTTCTTCTTATAAGGTCTCACTCATGAGGGCTCCACTCTCATTACCTAATTACCTCCCCCTCCCCA